GGGGCCGCCACGTTGATGGGGACCCCCGTAGGTTTTTGCCTTTCTGGGTTTCAGCGGCTGAGGCTCAGCGCTGTGGGGTAAAATCCCTGAAGGGAAGTGAAGCCTGCTTTTCCAATTCCTGTTTTCCCTCCCCTTCCAATTTTGGTGTAGACCCTCGAAGTGGGGGAGGGGCGTAAACAGTCCCTAGGACTGCGCTCAATTGAGGAGCGAATTAACGAGGTGGAAAGTCGCCCCGCTCTGGGATGGCCCCGTTCGCAGTTTGCTAAGCTGGCTAACATTTCTGATGAGTGGGATACGTTGGCTCAGGTGACTGGGCCCGGCTGGCGAGGGTTTTAGAAGAGGTAGGACTCGAGGGTTTTCCGGCCTCAGCCCCACGTCTCACCCGCCCAGTGACCTTGTGCAGATTACTTCACGGATCTGGACCTGTTTTCCATAAAGTGTGGGCCAGTAATAGTCCTGGCCTCTTTGGGTGGTTGTGAGGGACTGAACGAGTAAATAGTGCAAGTAGTACAGAAGGGCGCCCGGCCTGTTGTAAGGGCCCAGTAAATGTTAGCTTTAATTATTGGGAGTGGTGATTGAAGAGTTCCTTTGGGCCTTAATTTCCCCACTTACAAAATTGAGCAGCTTGCACTGGTCCAGCGTCGGAGGTTCTGGCAGTATCATTTGATCTGGAGTCAGACAGGCTGCGGCTGTACTCCTGGCTCTTCCACTTCTTGTTGATTCAGGTGGGCAGGTTAGTTGATCTTTCCAAGCCTTGGTTTCCTGTGCTCTCCAGTGGAGGTGATTACCTAGTTCACTGGGCTGTTGTATGACTTCATTTGTTCAGTAAACACCTGACACATATCAGGTGTGGTGCTGAGGATATAATGGTGACACCAGTTGTTATACAAGAGACAGATTGAGACAGAACCAAATACATTATTAACACGTGTGAGACATGGGCAGGAAACAAGATGTGATAATGAATAAGTAAATATTACTGGGCCTCTGCTCTGTGTCGGGCACTGTTCTAGGCACAGGTTTACAATAGGGATCAAGGCAGACAAAACCTTCTGGCCTTGTGGAGCTTCTGATGTAGAGACGGGAGACAGACAATAAAGAAGACAAGAAGGAAAATATGAAGTGTGTTAGATGGGGACAAGTATTGTGGAGAAAAATAAAGGATTGGGGAGAGGCTGTGGTTTCAGAGTGGTCAGGGAAGGCCTTGCTGGGAAGGTGATGTTTGAACAAAGATCTGGAGGAGGCAAGGGAAGGAGCCTGAGCCTTTCTGGGCAGAGGCCGCAGCAAGCACAGAGTTGGGTGGGGAAGACTCATTTTAAGTGGGTCAGTCAAGGAAGGCCCCTCTGAGGATGCAGAGTTTAACGCAAGACCAGAAGAAGTTGGAGAGGAGCCTTCCAGAAAGAGTGCAGGCAGGTAATGGCAGTAGTTCTCAACCCAGGGTGATTTTTGTCTGCCAAAGGACATTGCCAATATGTGGAGACATTTTTGGTTGTCACCACTGGGGACATGCCACTGTCATTTAGGGAGCAGAGGTCAGGGATCTGCTAAACCTACAATGCATAGGACAGCCCCCACAGCAAAGAGTTATCCACCTGAAACATCCATTGTGATGAGATTGAGCAAAGCTGTCTATGGGAAAGTCCTGAGGCAAACGTGGTAGCTTAAGAGAACACAGATTTATTATCCTACAGTTCTGGAGGTCAGTAGTCTGACGTAGTCTCACTGGGCTAAAATCACAGTGAGGGCAAGATTATATTCCTTTCTGGAGGCTCTAGAGAAGAATCCATTTCTTTGCCTTTTCCAGGTTCTGGAGGCTGCCTGCACTTCTTGGCTTGTGGCCCCTGTCTGTCAAAGCCAGCAGTGTTACATCTCTGTGACCATTCTCCTGTGGTCATATCTCCCTCTGACCAGCCAGGAAGAGGTCTCTGATTGTAAGGACCTATGTGATTTGATTGGGTCCAGCTGGGTAATTGAGGCTAATCTCTGCATCTGAGGGTTCTTAACTTTGATCACATCTGCCAAGTGCCTTTTGCCATGTGAGGTGACATACAGGTTTCAGGAGCCAGGATATGGATGTCTTTGGGAAGCTGTTATTCTGATACCATAGTCGCTGCAGTTGGAGGTGGACGTTGAAAGGGAAAGTGTTGGGAGTTTGAGGATGGGGCTGAAGTGCCATCTTTTTTTTTTTTAATATTTTCAGGTAATTTAATTTTCTCTTTGTTTGTTACTCATATCGCATTGAAGTCTGAAGGGGAACTATTCATTCAGCAAGGAGTGCCAGATGTGTGTTAGGGATTGATCTGGGTGATGGGGAAACAGCAGTGGGGGGGGGCACCAAAAACAGGCAAAAGTCTGCCCTGACTTTGTTGTGGAGGTAGACAAGAACCAAGTACAGTGCAGAAGATGATGGATAGTTTTGAGCACGATGGAGAAAAATAAAGCAGAGATGGGGAGGACAGGAGAGTGTTACCATTTTAGGTAGAGTGGCTAGGGAGAGCCTTACTGAGAAGCTGATGTTTAAGCAGAGATGTGAATAGAGGGAGCAGGCCCTGTTGATAACTGAGGAGTAATATTCCAGGCAGAGGAAGCAAGTGCAGAGGTCCTGAGGCAGGTATATGCAGTGTGCTCTGGGACCAGCAGGAAGGCCAGTGTGACTGGAGCCAAGAGAATGCCCTGTCAATATTGGGAGATGAATATGAAAAGAGCTATATTGTAAAAGGAACCTGTGAGTTGTTACTTAAACCAGGGATTGGCAAACAGCCAGAAGTACCTCATGTCCTTTTTTTTCTTATTATTAATAAAGTTTTATTGAAAACACAGGTATACTCATTTGTTACATGTTGCCTATGGCTCCTTTTGTGCTACAATAGCAGAGTTGAGTAATGCAGCCATTTGACCCCATAAAGCATAAAATATTCACTACCTGGCTATTTACAAGAAAGATTGCCAAAACTTGACTTAAACTATCTTTGTATTCCACCCCCAGTCCCTACTACCCCTTGCCAGCCCCTTAAACCATATTACCAGGTCCAAGTGTATCTTGATAGACCTGTGTTGTCCAGTATGGTAGCCACTTGTGAGTGCCTGAAATGTGGCTAATTTACACTGAGATGTGCTTGTAAGTAAAAGATGTCAAATTTCAGAGATGGTACTATAACAGGAAGTGTAAGACATCTCAGTAAAACTTCTTATATTGATTACATGTTGAAATGATATTTTTGATGTACTGGATTAAGTAAACTAGATTAATTTCACATGCCTACATTTTTTTAATGCTACCACTGGAAAATGTAAAATTACAAATGTGGCTTGCGTTTGTGGTCTGCATTATATTTCTTTTGGAGTGTGTTGACTCTAGGTCATGCTCTATTCATATATAGAGAAAATGGGCTTTTTTTTTTATGAACACTAAATATTTTGTTCTGCAGCTTGCTCTTTTCACTTAATATTTCTTACAAGTCTTCCCACGCAGGTACATATATATAGATCTGCATTTATAAGGAGTTTGAACATTTCCCCAAGAATCAAAGGTTTGTGGACTTTGTGAGGACAGGGCTTGGCTCCGATTCATCCCTAAGGAAGAAGCCAGTGCAGGCCTGTGAACAGACCAGGCTTCCAGGAGCTCAGAAAGGGCTGAGTAATAATAGTGGTAGCTGACATTTATTGGGAGCTCGCTTGTTGCTGGCCACTACAAAAGGGAAGTACATTTATGATTGTACTGAATTCTCACAGCCACCCTCTGAAGTAGGGTGCTAACCTCCATTTTCCAGGTGAGGAAACTGAGCACAGTGAAAGTAAGTAACTTGGCCAAAGCTGTGCAGCTAAGAGGAGCCAGGGAAGATTCCTAAAGGAAGCGCGAGACCTGAGGGCGGACTAGAATCTAGGCTGGGGTGCTTGCTGACTGTGTAGGCCGGATGCTTCACTTGGTCTCCGTGAAACAGGCTTGGGACGGAGGCAGAACGTGGAATCTGAAGTGCTGTTGTAGTCTTGATTCATGTGTTCAGCAGATGTTTATTCACCACCTCCTGTGCCCCGGACTCTATTTTAGATGCTGGAACACGGCAGGGAGCAGA